TATTGATTTCTACGACAACTTTTGTTGGAGCTCATTTGAGGTCGAGCTATACACACCAATAAGTATTGTACGGAAAATTAAAAATTCCTATAAAGACACGGACAAAAATTTTGAGGGATTCCCTCTAGCGATATTTTCAAAGTTCACAATTACTAAACCAGAGAACTCAAATTGGGAAAGGAGTTGACAGCTACTTAAATATTGTTTATGGTTTTGCAGTGCGTTTTAAGTTTTCATTTCATTTCATTGCCATCACTGAAAGACCGAAATCACTTCTGAAAAAGATAATTCGTATCAAAAACTACGAAATCAATATCAAGTGAGTTTCAAATCACAAATTTCTTCCTCACAATTATCAGCCGTCAAAAGCCCTAAATTTCAATCGTCAACCGTCAAAGTTCCTTCCCGATTACATGTGACCGACATTGAGCGTTGAAAAGCGCCAGAGTAAGGTCATCATAACATTTTTTCCTTGTCACTACAACTGTTTGCCTGGTGGTACGAGTTTTCTAAACCGACCGCAGAGTAAAATGCATCAAAGCCAAATTAAAGCATTCCCGGATTACTTTCGGAACAGAATTTAACATTGCTTCACTGAAAAGTTTTTTGACCCCTTTCCAAGCACTTATGCCCATGTTAACAGAATTTTTCAGCTCCCCTATCACCTCACGCGTGTTATATCCATGGCTTGCACAATTGTCGTAACGGACGTCTGCCAATTTTTATACATGTTAAATCACAACTTTGGATCAACTTGTTTTACTCGCACCAGCGGACACCAGCTTGTTGGCCTTTTTCATCTCAGTACAGACCAAAAATAAGCCTTCGTCTGAGTACTATGATAAATTTGTATTTATTCTTAACTCTCTCGTTTAGCTTACGTTTTTAGTATTTGTACATGAAATACGGAATCTAATCGACAAAAATGGTATTTTTTCCAAAGCTTTACCTTACCACCGAGTGAAATAAATTTCGTTAAAAATTCAGCTTTTAGGAGCTTGTACAATCATGTGGATTTGATTCCCTCCTTTTTTTCAGTTCAATGTCCAGTCCTTACAGTTGGTCGTCTCGTCAAAACCACACCAAACAATTGTGTGACATCACCGGCGAAACACAATACCGAATGCTCGTTCTCATGTCCACAGGGATACTATTTACAAGGTCCTTCTAAGAAACAGTGTGGGGCTAATGGTCAATGGACGGATAGTGCCAAATCTGTGACGTGCAAGGGTAAGTTTACTTTATTCTGTCATTTTTTTTAACTAAAATAAACTTTATTTGCAACACTCAGATTGTAACTCTTATTTCAGACACCGACGAGTGTGCTGTATCAAATGGTGGCTGCAGTCACGAGTGCGTCAATATTGCAGGGGGCTACAAATGTGAATGTCCAGACCTAGAGCTAAGCTTATCATCAGATAACAAAACATGTCATGGTTAGTATAAACTGGTAGAAATAACATAATTTCATTCGTTTGCTAAAGTAATCATTTTCTCCATCCCACTTTTTTCCGACAAAGTAAGATTCTCTTTCTACGACATTTCACTTTCCTTCCTTCTAAGAGATAAAGAAACTTTTATTTTTTCCTGAAGCTCCAGGGGTCAATGTCCAGTGCAACAGCAACAATATGACAATTATCATTCCTAAGTCCCTCTTCCGTGGTCGCGACCGCGGGCGTCTTCGGCTCTTAGACTCAAGATGCAAGGGTGAGGAAACCAACGCCTCCTTCTCTCTGACAACTCCGCTGACTGGCTGTGACACAAAACGCAGGCTTACACCGACAGCTATCGTCTACTCCAACACAGTCTTTGAAATCCCTGTGGCCGCTAAGGACGTCGAAACACGCGTGCGTGAAATAGAAATACCATTCAGCTGCTACTTATCCAAGTTTGGCGTGGTATCATCAGTTGGTTGGAGGCCGAGCAATACAAAACTTAGGTTCAGTGATGAAGGCAAAGGAAACTTCACACTTTCTCTGAATATGTTCCGTGACAAAAGATTCGTGAGTCCTTACATGAAGGATGACTTCCCTGTTGATGTGCTGCTTCGTAAACCTCTCTTCTTTGAAGTGTCAGTGACATCGACTGACAAGAAGTTGTCAATCATGGCTGATCGATGCTATGCCACGCCCACTCAGGATGAGAAAAATTCTGTAAATTACGAATTTATAAAGAAAGGGTATGTGAAAGATAATTATAGGTAATATTTTATTTGTTTTTGATCTTTTTTTAATCGGTGCGCAGGTTCCATTTAATCTTTAATAAACTTGATCTCCACCTCTTGCACATTAGGACAAATAAATGTAGGTAACAGGCACTTCGTGAAATAGGGATTGAAATCCAATCAGTGCATAATGTTTTTTCTTAGATGTCAGAATGACGTTACCGTGAAGTATTACTCTGGGCCTTCATCGAGTGCTCAGCGGTTTAGCTTGGAGGCTTTCAAGTTCATTGCAGATCATCCATTCGTATTCGTGCACTGCCACGTAATTGTATGCAACGCAACGAACCCTGCTTCACAGTGTGCAAAAAAGTGTCCATCAAGTGGCCGAGGTAGACGTGCAGTAAGTGATCACGTGACTGATGACGTGTATTCTTTGGCCCAGGGCCCGATCCGCCTCGCACGAGGCAAGCGAGAGAGAAAGAAGGAGAATGCCTTTACTGAAAATGGTAAATAACATGAAATAAAAGTGTTATTATGGTGTTGTGGTTTCTTTGACATGCAAGTGGTGGAACCAATGTTGATATTTGTAGATCTTTGGATTTCTAAACAAAAGGCCCTTTCAGAAGGTTTGCTATTATTTTCCACCAGTTCGTAATTTTATTCATCATTTTCTCTTTTCTATTTCCTTAGGATCCAGTCCTTTCTTCATGATGTCTGTGTTTGTGATGTGCGCTGCTTGCTTGGTAGGAACTGCGCTGATGATCGTTAAGAAGTCACGTGACAAGCCCATTGGCTATACTCTGCTTGCTAGCGGAGGTCAGGAGTAAACACATGCTCTATGACAACGAACGGACTTGACAAATCTTGTGAAAACTTGAGTAGGACATACCAAAAAAAATGCATAGAAGTCCTTTCCTTTCATCCTTTCCCTTTACCAAACAAAGCAATGCACATTTCGATGGAATCTTTAAATATCATAACTCCTGAATGATGAAAGTTGAAATAACCAGACTACCTTTCGGGAACACGAAAAGGAGTCATAACACCAAACTCAACAAGACTTCTTCATTGCGGAATTGACAGCGCAAGAAGATTTCAAAAATTATCATGCCAGCCTAACGATGTTGTTGTTTTCCGGCCTTTGCCTTTAAAACTGAATTAAATCCGACCTGCTCCAGATTATCTTCACTATTAAAAAAATTTAAGTTCTTTAACCCCTTAGTTATGATGCATTGGTAAAGGAAACATCCTTACTTTGATATCTGCTACTCAAGTTTGACTCAATACGAAGAGATTGGCTGGTCTCAAAACTTTGTTAACTCTGCTTGTTTAATGAAGCATGGTTTATAGGACTTTTCAATGATCTACTCATTACCGGAAATGTCAAAAAGTATGATTCAATAAGGGTGCTTGCTGAGTAGAAAGAAGTATTTGCTTTTTTTCGTTGAAGTATTCTGAGTAATTTTAGAAATCTGCATTAAGCGCGGGAGTACGTTAGTCAGTTTTTTTACCAACTCTGAGGAGAGATACTTAGAGAGAAGCGAAAAGAATACAAGGAGGAACTGACCTAAGACAACACTGATTGCTTGTCAGTGCGCTGAATTAACTACTTCATCAAATTGGTAATTTGATAAACATTTTATCATGTAGAAGTGTGAGAAAATTTTAAACTTCCGAAAGTGATAACGACAAAAAACATACCTTCTGTAACTGAGTTTACACTTTGGGATGATGCTGGATAAAGGAAAATGATACTTTAATCAGGATTAAGGACGTTACTTTTACCTGATCGTTATACTAGCAAAGGAAGCAGGTATCGGAGGAAAGCCTCATACTCACAATTAACAAAATGAGCTAACGACTATATTTTATTATCAATTTCATACTCAGATAAGGTGTTGGGATTTTGCTACTGTTTTGTCAACTGGCGGTTATAAGGAAATAAAATCTTAAACTGATTTTTTTGCGGTAGTTAATCATGATTTATACCTAAGGACTAAACACGCGCGTGTTTTTAATTTTCTAGTGCGTATTGCAAGCCTGGTCAAAAGTTGTTAGGACTCTTTCATTTATTTGACTTCTTAGCTAAGATTATTGTCACGAGTAACCCCTCTCCTCTCCCCTTGCAATGTTGAAAGTAATGTAGCGTTCCTGAATGTTTCCAACATTTTTATGAATATTACAAAAAGCCTTTAGTGTCCAAAAAAGGTGTAGAAGGCTTAACATCTCTTTGCTACTCTGCTCAATCAAATCAAGTAGAAGACAAGTACCCTAAAAATAGAGAGGGAATCAAATCAATGTTTGCTTGCGGACTCACGCCTTCGTGCGGTGAAATCAAAGCTGCGATTGGTTAGTTCGCTGCCACAGTTTTCAACAAAGTTAGTTTGGCCGGCGCAGAAATGGAGTGATCCACCGTATCTTTGAGCGTAAGGAAAGGGGGGGGGAGGTACTAATGTACGCCTTTTTTCAGCGAAAGTGGGACCCTTGTATCAGCTGACTGTTTAATGTTTCATTTAGAAAAAAATATGAAGAAACACAAAAACTACAATTACCTAAATCGTTATGAATCGACTTTAAAGCCATAATGGTACACGAGTGAGGAAATGTAAAGAGGCGGACATCTTTTTTCCCAAATGCAACTATTTTCCTCATTTAGCTACTTCTACTTCAACTGTTATGGAGAAATTCAAATTATACCAACCGGCCTCAGTCAATGCAATGCGCTGAGCGCGCGCAACATGCCTTCGAAGCAATTATTTTCATGGCAACATGACATCACAATGAACGAAACAGAAATCCTTGGAGTTCGTCTGAGAGATTTTGTGAAAAAACAACAATGGTTTGTGTTATCATACCGTTCCGTCGGGATAAAGCAGGAGCTGATAATTTTTTGATCACAGCATCTGTTTCGCTACTGAATGTTGAATTACGCAAGAAAAGGTGGTAAGCGACACGATAAAGTATTTTCTTTCTCTCTTTTCTCTTAAGAGTTTAGTCTTCGAAGCTGCTTGTCTCACAGAGTCAAATTCTTTTTTACTTTTCTGATTAGAAAGTGATCAAAAGTTTAACTCTGACGAAGCATACAATTTCGGAAACAATATAAATTTCATTATGATTAATTGAATTGAGGGGAAAAAGTTTGCGTTTTAGAATTTGGTTGAATCCGATTTCACTGTTGAATACCGCGTGACTTAAGCAAAAGAAAGAAAGGGTCATTCCCCAAACTGAATAATGTTTGCCCTTTGAAGTTGCAAGACTCGGTGAAAAACAAATACTAAGCTAATTGGAATTTTTCACGGCGGTGCTGCGAGAGAAAGTTTTTGATAACGGTCAATCATTGACAGCGAGGGGGAGGGAGGGATAAGTTTTACTAGTTACCAGTCTTGGCATAAAGACATCATGGCGGCTGCCTTGAAGATACGATGTACTTCTTTGCCTTTTGTCGTATTCCAAAATAACAAAAGATGGAAGTGCATCTCAGCCCTTGAATCGTAAAACGCCAATCGCTTATACAAGGATAGAATCCGCACTGAACAGAAATATGGTTAACTATGGCAACTTTTTCACATTATGCTGACATTCGTGTTTTCTTCCTCAATTAGGTTTCCCCATAAGCTTGCAGTTTTTTGGAAAAAAAGGAAAGCGAAATATAGCACAAAGGTAGTCAACTTAGACTTTGGATCTCTTATCTTTCTCTCTTAGCTCATTAAACGTTATTTATTTCTTAATCGTCAGTTTGAGTTAAAGAAATATTTCTTGCAATTACTTTTTCTCTCAGCCTGTAGCATGGTTTGGAGGTGTTGAAAATGGTTATCGTGGTGTTCATTTTTGGCCTGAGCCTGATCCAGTAGATAGTAACCTTACTCTCCTCAAGGTAAGTTTCAAACAAAGGCAGTCTGTCAGTGTTCCTGTACACAGACCATGCCAAATTTGGTTACTTCACGTTGTTGTTTGGCCAAGGACACCTTCAACATAAAAAAGTTCTAAACGCTAGTGCTTAGCTGTTGTTCTGCTCATTTGGTCTTTTGTTTTGCCACATATTTGTTTCCATCATTCTCATGATTTGTTCAAGGTCCCTAATATTGTTGTTATCAAGTTTGTTTCTTTGTTTTAAAACAATATTTATTTGTATTTGTAGAACCCAGAAGATGAAATGACAGAATATCAAGAAAAGCAGTGGAATATTTACATCTGTAATGTAAGCTTTTCCCTTTTCAATTTTACATGAGTATGTAGTCGCTCTCTGCCTTTGATACTATTTTCACTCCAGGCAGTTTGGAGTATATCTGAACACTTTTCATCTTCCTCTTGCTTCTTTGAAATCATTAGGTGTCCCCCAGTGGTTGTCACCAGCTTCTGGCCACTGGCTGTATTGATATCAGCAATTACATTACAGAGATGCCTGGAAAAGTGGAAGTTACTGTCACTCTTAAGCCAGCAATCAAGAAAGTTGTTTCTGGTAAAATTGAGTTTGAATTATCATGGATTATCCAGGAAGATGACGGAGTCATTCAGTGAGTATTCTTCAATAATTTCCATTGCTAGTTATTGTAATGATCATCTAGCCTATGTTTGGCATTTATAAGTCAGTTACTATCATAATGCTATTTTAGATCCATGAACTTGATCAATAAACTTTCAAAGTGAGATATTATCATTTTTGCTTCATAATCACAAGGGTCAACTAAAATCTAGTTTACTTGCTCGATGGTTTTTATTCATGCAATTATTATTTGTTTTGTCTAAAAGTAATTGTATTGTGAAATTCCATTAACTCTTTTGCATTACCTTTACAGTCCCACAGATGAAGAGATATGGGAAGAGATAATGCAGGAGGTCAGGGAGGAACAAGCAAGAAGAAAAGCTGAGGGAAAGACAGCCAAGTATAAATCTTTGAAAAAAAGAAGGCGCAGGAAACGTAGCTGCTCAAGTAATACAGACATTGCCACTGAGGAAGACAGAAAGAAAGATGAAAACAATGAAGTTGGCTGCTCAAGTGGTACAAACATTGCTGTTGGGGAAGATAAAGAAACTATTGAACAACAAGGTGGCATCTTCCCAAATGCTGAAGCTCAGGTGGATCCCTCATCTGGCAGCAATACCAAAGTGGGGTCAGGAAAGGTCAGGAGGCAGTCTTCACCTCATCATGTACATCTTAGCCCTGTTTCACCCCAGACACACCCACCTGCTAGCCAGGGTCTGCCATTAGAGAGTGAAGAGAAAAAAGAGGTGCAGAGTAAAAGGAACCTTCATAAAACTGTCAGGTTTCAAATTGATGAACAGCCTGAGGTATTACATCTTGTTGTACATGATGAAGAAGCACTGGACTCCTTGTCAGAAACTGTTTACAGAGAAACAGTTTTCATAAAGGAAGATGAAGTTGCAACAAAAGAGAAGTGCATTCCCAAGAGAGATGAAAATTCATGTAAGTTCTGTTTTGATTTCCAGCCTCCCATTCCAAATGGAAAGGGGCTTAAATTTGAATACTTTTCTCCTGTTTGATCTGATTTATTTTCAATCAAACAGTTTTATTGTAAGACTCCTTGGAACCTTGAGCTATAAGCACTAAATAAAAATCATAACTTTACATTTTTTTATTCTGAATTACAACTATTTTTGTTGATTATTGATGTTAACTTTTTTGTTCAGCCTCAAGTGGAAGCCAGCTTCACTCAGAGTTGGCCAGTTATGTTGAAGAGGAACTGAAGCTGGTTCAAGATGAATTATTATCTTCGGAAGAAGTCCGCTCAAAAGTAAAACTTGAAATGCAGAGAGCTATGTCATCAGGTGGGTGATCCATTTCCAAAATGATAAAGTGAAATACCTTGGAATTTCAAAAAAACTTATGTTAAGTTCTTTTCCCCACTAATGAGTTATAAATCTTTAACTCCAGGATCTTATTGGTAATTCTCTTTACTGTCTGCAGTACAATTCTTATGATATTAGATCAGTAAAATTGGTATTGAATGGACTAATGCTATTGTTTTGATATTGTAAGGATAAACTCTGTCTTGATCATTCTCAGGAGTGAAAGCATTAAAAATATTAAAAAACAGCTAATTCCCAAACTAGAGATACTGCAAGTTTTTACACTTATTTCAGGTGTTATAAGCCATGCTTAACTTACACAGCTTATACAATGTATTTGTTTACTTTTTGTCTGTAGACCACAAAGAAGAGTTTGAAAGCTTAAACCAAGGCTGGCTTATATTGGATAGCTTCCATTCCAAAGTGTTGAAAAGAAAAGACGACCTTCTTGCCCTGTAAGTAATAGACTTATTTTAGAAACGAAATAAACATGTCCATTGTGACTTAAAATGTAGTCTTACGTTGTAATCCATGGTCCAAAAACTCTGCACAGGTGCCTATATATGTGGACCAACTGCCTTTGGTATGGATAACTAATCTATCTATCATATATTGCTTAATTAGTTCCTCTGGATTCATTTTTATTATTGTTAATAATAAAAAATGTGAGCAGTGGAATGAATAATGTTTGATTTACAGATCGAGAAGTTCCACTGTTTGTCCTTGTTATTTATTTGGGTTTTTCAGAGACTGTAGTAATTCTGCTTAACTAAAGGTTGTATTTAGCTTGAGGCAGAATTGCTTGATTTTCTGTTTTCCTTTCACCAATATAGTGACAAAGGAAAAAACATTGAAAATTGTCTTAACTTGCTGTGTTCAGATTTGAGACACCTTTCAGAAGTGGAAGGTAAGTATTCAGTTGTTTCTCCTCTTTTTTCTCAGTTTAGTGTTATTGGGACTGGTTCACTGAGCCTTGATTCTTAACCCTTTACACCCTAACATCATTCTGTATATATATATATATAAATACTCCGAAGTGTTGTCTTTACATTTCCTAAGGTGCTAACTGGTGAATTTGTTTAACAACCTTGAGTTTCTTTACAAAGTGATCATTTCCTTTATCCTTGTGATATTCTCAAGAGAAATTAGTTGCTATTCTCTCTTCAGGGCCAAAGGCATAAGCCAAAATGTATATGAAGGAAACAATGTTTTGTATTTTGATTTTAGGCTGGAGGAAAACAGATGAGAACAAAGCTCATGAAAAAAGAGTTGCTGGACTTATTACTGCAATTCACCAGCAAAGCCTTCATGCCTAAGTAATGGTAAGAAACAGTAATCTTAACTAATTTGAAATGCAAGTTATTAATTGTGGTACTAACACTTCATATTATTGTAGTCAATATTGTATCTTAATTAGATGAAATTCAAGGCTTATAGCTAATTTAATTTTCAGTGTTTTGATTTATTACAATCTAGCAATAAAACATACTGTCTATAATTCTGTCATATGAAGTGGTGCAGATGTTCTTATGTTGGTTTATTTTCTTTTTTGCATTTCAGAATGAATGAAAATCAGTCTACTATTTTTGAATATTGGTCATTTGTGTTCTGGATTCTTGTGAAAAAATTGTGGCAAGAATTGCCTTTTAATAAGAACATGCTGCTGCTCTTTTTTCAAACAAATTGTTCTCTAATAAGTTCATTTATAACAGTAAGTATGATTTTTCTAAAAATGATGTATGATATTGAGTGCTCTATATTCAGAAAGAAAAATTCTTTTGATGAAACATTTTCTCTCACCATTGTAAATAGTCCTTTGTAAACAGTCCAAAATATGTTTTGTAAACAAGTCATGGTGCATTCTTGTTTCAATCTTTTAATGCAATTTGAATTTTTAAGAATTAATTTCTTCCTGCAGTTTTTATGAAGCCACTGTAAGTTTTAATAACAGCACATTCCAAATTCTTTTTCTTATTTTGAAATGATGTACCTTAAGTAGTTTTGATAAGACAGATCTCCTGTCTTAATTGTAAACAATATTTTGTAACTAGCTCATCTCATGGTTTGTGAAGTTTATCATCTGTACAAAAGCACTTTTTTCCTACAATATTCATGAAGCCACTGTTAAAGTAACACATTCCAAATTATTTTTCTTATTTTCAAAAGATCTACTATTCAAATAGTAACTCGCAAGTAAAAGACCTAATACTCTCTTGTCAATATAAGATGCCTAAAAATGAAGAAAAACTTTGTTTACTTGTCGAAGATTTTTTGAGGTAAAGCAAAGCAAATGTCAACAGTCATGCTAAGTGGTTACATGTGCACATGTGGCAGTTTGGTTTATAAGTGAATCAGTATCGGTGCTGATGTTGGGGGAACACATTGTAATGGAGACTGAGAGACAATCAGTGTGACTTCAATATATATTCAGAACTTAACCTCACAGAAATAATGACATAATTGGTTCAACTTGACCTTTCAAATCTGTGACATGTCAGTCATTCTCATTAATTTAAGCTTGAAACTCTTTCTTGGTGCAGTTGAAGTCTTTTTTGTCAATCACACATGAAGTTTTTTTCTTTGTTGCATAACATTTTATATGTAACACTCTTGTACTGACATTGGTATTGAGGTCATTATGCAGTGGCTCCGAAATAAAAAAAAAAGAGTTTAAAGTTTATGCTCATAACTTCCTGTTATTATTGGATGGTTTCTTTTAATTTGTAGTACTTTTGTATGTACATTACTACTGAGATCGTTTTGCAGTGGCTTCAAAGTATGAAAAAACCTGTAATTATTTTCTGGCTACTTATCATATTACTTTTTAATATTCTTTTATGAATGTTGATTTTGAGATAATTCTACAGTGGCTTCAAAGTATGAAAAGAAAAACCTGTAAGTTAAGTATTAATAAACTTTGTTGTTGTAAAGTAGGTGATGATCATTGTTGTGTTCATGAGACCATTTCGATTGAGTGTCGAAATTAAAGTGATCCGTGATTGCCACAGTTTTACTTCACCATTCTCGGTGATTAGGCCAGAAAACTCACCCCAAATGCAAGACTAAGACTAGTCGCTGCTCAATTTTTCCTGCGCTTTGGGAAGTTTGCTTAGCTTCACTAATAGTTCTCATTGGCTCCTTGACTGACCCTCGTGATCACATTGGTTTATATCTTTCATCACACTATGAAAATTTACACGACTCAAGTGAGTGTCGAAATTAAAGTGATCCGTGATTGCGACAGTTTTACCTCACCATCCTCAGTGATTGGGCCAGAAAACTCTCCCCAAATGTAGTACTACAACTTAATGAGAGAGATATGTGGGAACTATTAGATGAGCCAGGCTGATTATATTTTACAAGATGACTATCGTCCCGTTTTAAGATTACCTTAGCCGGTCAAGACTGAAGGGAAAGAGTTAAAGAAACAAACCAAAGAAATAATGGTTTTGACATCAAAAATAACAACAACTTTTCGATTGCAAGACAACCAGCTTAACTCACTTGTCATGTGTCGACGTGACACTCAGAGAGCTCAGATACACAGTTTGTGCTGTGAGCCTCCTGTTGGTCGATCAATTCTGATACCAAGTAATGCGATAATCAGGATATGTATGGTACCATACGATACACAGGCCACTATCCACTCAGAGCTTTCACCCCACTTCACAGGTCATAACTGTTATTCAAGAATTTAAAAGAAGGAAAATCATAAACCTAAACGGTTAAAAAATTTGCGTAACTGTTTAATCATGGTATTAAAATCGCCCAGTTGCTAATTCTACCACCTCCAAACGTGGAGGGGGACAGGGGGCAGGAGCCCGGGAGAACAGGGGGCGGGAGAGGGCGGGAAGCGGGATCTACATGAGGGCGGGAAGCGGGAGCAGAAATAAAGAAGGCGATAGTTTGTTGTTTATTAATGAGTATTATTCAATCAAAAACACTTACCTAGCAAAGTTTTGAAATGTCCATTTAACATCACCAGTGCTTAAAAGAAAATTTTGGAAGCAAGAAAACGTAAATTTGTACTCGGGCTGGAAAAACAGCATTGCTTCCGGTGAATTTGGAAATCTCTTCAATTCGATTACGTCATAGGTCATGAGATAGCATGACACATGACACATGTACACGTCTGGTAAGTTGTAGCTGTCGAAAATCTCCAGCAAAGAAAGCGATTCAGGTTCATACAGGTCAAATGTCGTCAAAGACTACATTAATCGGCCTCAGTATTTTTCGGTGTGGCAACGAAAAATCCGTTCATGGAAGACCTTGGGAGCTCGCTCCTTACGAGTGCACATCCTAACTTACTGAAGATTTTGCCTCCTAGTGCAAACTTAAAACTTTCCGCAGAAGTTTAAATAAGATTTCAACTTATCCAGCAAATCTGATAATTAGCCGACTACGAATGTTCAATCACGCTTCACTAGCACTTAAACTGAACACTCAAATGCAAACGGTTCAATAATTGATGTGCAGTGATTTAAATCATCCTTTGAAGTCAGCTTTTTTATTTGCTCACGACTAGCTACGACAAGTTACTTACGTCAAAAAGGGAAAGCAAGCACGGATGCAGGAGAAGCAAACTCTAAACGTTACGTCTGGTTCTTGATTTTGCTTTTGAAATGGCATTCTTAAATGCATGGAAAAGCCTATATTAAATTGCAATAGCTATTACATCACACAGAAGACTGAGACTTTCGTCTCTATAACGAGATGCCAGAAGTGATGGTCAAACTGTGATAACCAGGTTAAACTTAGTTTAATTAAGAAAACTGACCTGTAATATCTTTCATCGGTCTGATGATCCTCCCGCCAAAACAAAGACCAGAAGATGAACAAGAATGTTAAGTTTTGGCTCAGTTTGAAAGTTAATGATTGATTAACCAGAAGACGGGAGCAACACAATCAAGGGTGGTAGTCGGGAGGCAAAGGAACACAAAAGTATGGAAGGCGGGAGAACGTGGTACAGGAAGCGGGAGACTCTGACCCCTCTGTCACCCCTCACCGAAAAATGAATAATATAACATCTACAGCTTACAAAAGTACGGGAGGCGGAAGAACGTGGTACGGGAAACTGGAGACTGACCCCCTGTCCCCCCTCACCGAAAGTGAATAACATCTGCAACTTACAGTAAGGGGAGGGGGGTAGGCTAATTTCCCAAACAGCGCTATCTATCGAGTCTACCTCTCTTCCTTTCTCGAGAGACGAAGAAAAAGGACCCTGGGAACGAGGCTGTTGGGTCTATTAGTTCCTCGCGTGCGTAACATACTGAAGCTAGTATACATACAAGAATCAGAGCAGTTGCGCTTTTTGTCTTGCCAGCCGAGTGACAGAATGATAGGGCCTGTGCTCATCATCAGTAACTGTACTTTTTCTTCGGTCGCTTGATGAACATTTCTTTGTGCACCGGGAGCCTGGGGCAGTTGCATTGCCTAGAACCACTTGACAGTGAACGAAAGCAAATGAATGATCATCAATTGACTCGAAAACTCCTGGGCTAAACCTCTGTAAGCTGACAGCGCGAGCACCTACTACTGCCTCCTCAGGCTTACCATGCATTTCACAAAGATAGAGTTGCACAAGGTCCGTCATTCCATTTTCTTCGCCTCTCAAGCTGATCCATATCCATTCATTTGGTGTACGTAGAGAGGCAACGGCTTGTTGCTCGGGTGCTGAAATTCTCGCGGCGTATGAATGGATATGGATCAGCTTGTATAGACATCCTAATATCAAACGTAAGTTTGGATCATAGGGATTCGTGGGCAGATTTTGCTGCATTTCAGTTTAGTCTGTTGGTAGTGAAGACATTTGTAGTCATTGTAAAAATAACAGGTAGTATGATATTCGCTGACAGTGGATGATAATTCGTGTTCATGAGTTCACAAGTCTTGTAGATTCTAATTTTAACGGCTTGGTCGTAGATAAACCGCCTTCAATTTCTTCAGTGTCTGAAAAGAGTTCTGCTGCTGCCCTTGGGTGGCTTCAGTTTATTCTGTTGTCATGTTTTGGAAAATGAGTATTTAACCATTTAAATAATGGTTATATATTGCTATTTGGTTCCTTTGGCGCTCGTCCTGATATCAAATCTAACATCCCTTCTCGCTACAGAAATAGATAGATGTTCCTAGGCTCCAAAGTTGCAAAATTGAGAAATGTATGTGACTGACTTTTGAATATCACAACCAAGGGAAAGATTTAGGATTTGAACTTTTAAGCTGTTCTTGTTTTTACCTTCTGTATTAGATACTTAGATACTTAGATACTTCTAGATACTTAGATACTTTAGATACTTCTCGCAAGTAATTATCTGGAAAAATTAAAAACACACGAACGATACACCTAAAGAGAAGTGAGACCCTTCAAAGATTCGGCATCTTCCTGAAAACGAAGTTCAGAACGGCAAGTTTCAGGTTTCTCACTATTTATTCATCTAGGTATCTTTGTGTCGAAACATTTTGACCGGTCTATTGTAGCTAGTTATTTGAACGCTCGCTGTTCCGATAGAGGCTAAACTCCAAAGTCCGTAAATAAAAATGAATTGAACTTATTAATTTGAATAGATTTGTAAATACATTTGGCTGTAGAAAACCTTCAAAAAGTCTTTTGACAGTCTTGAAAATAAACAATCGAAAAAGTTTTGATAACCAAGAGATAAAGAAAAATTAAACAAATGTACACTTCAACTACAGTGTTGATCAGATCACGTTCGTCACGCATGAATATAAGAAAGGTTACCAAGGCAGGACGGATGGGGAAAATTGCAATTGCAAAAAGGAACACTCAAGACTCACACTTCTGCGCCTGGTCTTTGGTGAATTTGGCAATTTTAACTTTATAGCTCCCTTGTAAAAATAAAAAAGTGAAATTAAAAAGGCCAAGTGGTATTTTAGGAACGATTTTGCAAATAAAAAGACAATAACAAAAAACGGCATTTGTTATATTCATGCTAGATTCACTTCGCTGTCAACTTTAATGCTGGTTTTCCGAGGAAAATCAACCGAACAACAAAACTTTTCATTTATTTTCATTCCTATATGGCCAACTAGTAAAATGCAAGCAGTTTATTTATTTTTGAAACGTCTCAGAGTTTTTACGTGATTTTCTGTTAGTATCTAATATTGGCTTTACGCATCGTCATCACGCTTAACTGAACGGTATTTCGGCGTGCACATCAGTATAAAACAATTACAGCTTTTTTCGTTACGGAGGAAGTTTGATATAAAGAAGTATGACGACTTATCATTTATTTTGAATCAATTCATAGCTTTTGTTCCTGTGAAAAATCAAAAAAACTATTTACAGTGGCGCGGTACACTGGGAATGAGATTAGAAGCTATCTTCATGGCTACATGACATCACAATGGATAAACAGAAGATTTCCATTCCTCTGAAACGCATGTGATCGATTTGAACAAAAGGTAGCAATCATGAGTTTTTTGAAGAAAATGCGTGGAAAAAGTCCAAGTAAAAATCATCAAGAATTACAATTGAGAGCTTCGGTTCCATCTCCGACTGTGAAATGTGCCAAAGACAAATGGTAAGTGGAGAAAAAAAGAGTAGAAAACTCATCGGGAAAGATCACCGATAAATGTGGGCATGTTAGATTTAGGTGGAGTTTCTTTTTTCTATTTGCGCTTTTGGTACGGCAAGAGAATAAAGCAGCCGCTACAAAAGAAAACACGCAAAAGTAAAAAAAACAAACAGTTTGTTTTTAAGTCTGCGACAAAAACTGAATGACTCCAAGCAATTTACCACTTAACTTGCGCTTTTTTACTTTCATCGACGCGCGCTAAATCTCAGTTTAAAGAGGCCAATGAAATGATTTTTGGAAATCGCGGGGATATGACGGCAATTGAGGCTCAGAAAAATGAAACTGGAAACCTCTGATAGACTGATGTGAAGATAACAAGATCCCAAATTTTCGAAACTCCATTTTCAAGGAAGGCTTAGATATAAAGCAAGTTCATAAAAAATTGAGTCAAAGTGTTACTTCTTGCTCTTTTAGAGTATTAAGGGAACATTTTGATTACTTGAATTCACTGTACCCTTGTGATTATCTTGCAGTCACCCAGACAAGAAAGATACCATCAGGGAAGAAAGCAGGAGACTGTCGCGTCCAAGATCCTTAAAGAGTTTCCGAAAGGAAAAGCGCGATGGCGATGTTACCAGTGCTGCTGCCTGTTCGAAGGTGGCCACCACAAAGGTCAATGCTGCTCCACTTGCTCCATTGTCAGGCGTCGTTGGTAACCATGAGAAAAAGAAGGAAGCGAAAGCTGGTGCTGACACTAAGGGTAATAGTTCTCAGGCGGTTTCGTGTCGAGGCCGCAATAAAACAAGATCAGGACCAACAAAGGTCAAAAGGAAAGCTCCACCTCCACCGCTGCCTCTCTCTGAGAAGCCTTCCGTTTCTCATACCAGTCCATCTCAATCTGGTTTACCTCGTCCTGTTTCAGCCCGTCCCTCTTCTCCGATACCTCCACCGCGTCAACCACGAACTCGTAAGGCGGCTCCACCTCGCCCCCCTCCACCGAATATGAAGCAGTCTGGGAAAAAGAGTGATACCACAAGTGTTAAGAAGAAGGAAAACGAGATGCGCCACTATCCAAAGGATCTAAACCCGTTTGCAAATTCCGACGGTACCACCGATAATGACTGCTCGTCCCAGAACAGTGGGAAGGCCTCCAGCGCTCGTCGTCAAAGGCATAAAAGAAGACGGAAGAACTCTAAAAGTGGAGAATACCCGATGGAAAATAATCCATTTAATGATACTGATGAGATGAGCGAGACGCCCTCCAGTACTCGTCGTCAAAGGCGTAGAAGAAAACAGAGAGAATCCATGAATGAGGAATACAAAATGAGAGACATCTCATCCAGTGATGCTGATGACATGCGCATCAAGCCCTCCAGTATTCGTGGTCAAAGGCGTGGAACAAAACGGAAAGAATCGAATGGTGAAAAATACAAAATGGAACACAATCCATCCAATGATACCGATGAGGAAAATAGTTCGTCAATCTTGAAGTCGACTGATACTTCTGACATGTGGTCTGTTTCTTCATTGGAAGATATTCAGTTTGTGGTGAACACAGCTACAGTAGAAGAGGTTAATGTAAAGACTGCATTACGAGGCTTGGCTGCCAGCGATGAAAAAGACGAACAGGTTGACCGAGAAGATTACGGTGACTCAAAGGTCCAGTCATTCCCATCTGATAAGGAGGTCTCTCCTGACGATCTCCCTTCCACAAACAAATATAATGTTCCTGCAATTATCGGATCAACAAACCTTGATGCTTCGACTGCTAAAGATTGTTCAAATGTAAGCGAGAGATCAACTATCAATCAAGCACAACCTACCGAGGAAGTAATTGCCATGGAGGATTGCCAGGGTGGAGACAGCTTTGGTAAGTTGTTCTGTAAGCATACCACAAAATAGATCCTAATGAGCGGAAAGTATTGTAAAACAGTGCATCTTTATCCACCGAACCGGCGAAAAGAGTCAGTAGAAACATTCTCATCTGCGTGCAAGTAAACCTTTATTCTTGACTGTTGTTTGTACTTTGATTGCTATTAACCAAACAGATTTGATTGGTTCAATATCAACTTCATCAGAATGTGTATATATTCGCCTTCTCTTTTCATTATTTAAGCACGTGTATTTTCTGAAATCTTCTTTAGCTTCCATCGTAAGCAATCAGTTTCCTGAGTTGGCTATTTATGTGGAGACAGAGATTAAGGTTATCGAACACGAGTTGCTTTCATTGCACAAGGTGATGGTTAAATTGGAACTAGAGATGAAAGAAGCAATGGACACTGAAGGTTAGTTTCCTATTTTTACCTTTGCATGAGTCAATATATAAAAACTAACATATTTGCCACAAACGTGCAGAACAGTGATTTTCGAGAGCGACTATCCTGAATCCCTAGCTTCGAACCTTTCTAACTGTTCACTTTCGTCAAATAACAGCCGAACTATCCTGTTAGTTGAGAGGAATCTTTCGGGGTTCAAAGTGCTTGGTTTCTCTCACGTAACGCTAAAGAATAACAGTTTCTCTCCTAGAAAGAGGTAAAGTCTGGAAACAATTATCCGGGTATACCGTCGCGCCAAATAGAGGGTGATGCATGTAACTAACTAAACACAAATTAAATGCAGCCTTCTTTAATTTCCCCTTTTAGATTGTGAGGCCGAGTTTGAAAGCTTATCACTTGACTGGTTAGCGCTAAATAAGTTCCGTTCTGAACTTGACGAAAGGAAGCAAGACCTTCTCACTCTGTAAGTACATCTTATCCTTATAAAGCTGTTTTAAACCTTGCTCGATAGTTGGGAACAAGTCAATATGCCAAATTATGGTAATACATATTCAATAGCCAGAGCGAATGATTTAAATTAACCACATGTAAGCACTGCTTTTTTTATTAAGCATTTTAATTCCTTGCATTGTATTTGCATTTGAAAGTTTATCGTATTAAAGCCTTATCTTTCGTCTTTGTTGTTGCTATCGTATGGTGAGTGATGTTTTATTACGTTTTCTACGGCAGGTTGGAAGAAAACCAGGGAACACAAAGATCGGGAAAAGAATGTCCTGGATCTTATCCTCAACTTGACCAACATGGCCTGAATAACAAACTACATTAAAAGTAGGAAACTTGTATTTTAATTCAGTTGAAATGCTTTTGGTTCTCTTCTTGTAATCATCCTTTACATTCTATAATAAGTTTGCCACGAATCATTTGGATTATGTTGATTTAAGAGACTTTATTATAAATAACAATGGCTAATTCTGTTTTTACTTTCCTTTCCTTTTGCAGTTTCGATTTCACAACTTTTTCTTTATTTCTGGTCTGGCTTGTATGGTAACATGTTTGTATATGGCTAAGAACAAGGGATTATAATCTCTCGCTAAAAATCCTTTGTAAATCTCTAAATTCTGAGCAGTTTCATTTTTCAATGTAAAATTCTTTCTCTTAGAAAATCATTCAGATATTATCCTTGAATCATGAGATTACTTTATTTGTCAAACAAATTTTCATGTGACTACTATGAGTAACTACTATGAATTCAAATAATTTCTATTGTTGTAAAAATTTTCATTTTTTAACGTAAGTAACTATCTTTATCTTTTCTCGTCTTTTTTTTAATTGCTCAGAACTATTTCATGAGTATAAATACCTCTTTTGTGAATGTAATATCTTAAGTTCAGGGTCACGGACAAAAGATCTAACAAGGTTTCTTTTCATTACGACCCTGTTATCTTTTATTTTGATTACGTTTTATTTCAAAGGCGAAGGTAGATAGATCTAAGGTGAAGACTTTGTTTTCTTCCAATCAGATGCGCTGATATAGAATCATTTGTAATGAAAGTGACGTAAGCGGTTACAAGATCACTGCACGTAACTGAATACTTCACCTTTGGCACTGCACACTTTTTTTTGTTCGTACTTTTCTTTTCTTTTTCTGTTTTTTTTTTCCGCTTTTTTTGTTTGATTTTAGGTAGGTAGGTTATTTATCTCCAGGTACTTTAATCATTTTTAGGTAATCCGTATTTTTAATTTTTATTTAGGTTTTTTTTAGGTATTTTGTAATTTGGGTTTGGAATCTTTTTTGGCAATTTTCTCATCCTCTCCTTTTTTCCTCCTCTTTTATTATTTTGGTTTGTTTTTGTTTCCTTCCTTCTTTCTTTCGTTTTTTCTTCCTTTTTTTTCTTTTTGAATAACATTGCCCTTTTCCTCCACCTGTATTAACAGCGATTCGAACGCTGTGGGTTATGTTGGGTGGTTTTCTGGCTGCATGCCTCACTTTTCTTTGCGATCAATCCATAGCAGTGCTGATGATTGACCGAATGCTAAGACAAGGAGACTGGGACTCATTGAGTATAACGTCACGCCATTACTTCACCAGGGAAAGGAGTAACGTAATCGCCTTAGTTTTTTTTCTCTCAAATTGACACGAGATCATTTTTGATTCAGTTGTGAACATATTGAGTTGCCTATTTTTCATTGCGATTTTTTTCGCTATTTCCTTATTTTACCTTGATTTGTAATAATTGTAAATAAATGTAAACGAAAAAAAAACACGACTTTTCTCAAGTCTTTTACAAAGTCCATCTTCTCACTCTTCTGCTGTTGATTTGCCAATAAAAAAGCAATTTCTCATGTTTCATTATTCCCATTAGTCACCATACCCTCACCTCGGTTTGGATTGTTACCCTCATAGGCATTTCAGATTTGAACGATTCATGACCTTGTTTTTACGGTTTTGATGAGAATTGTAGCCATTTTTTCCAGTTGTGACCGGTTTACATGGTCAACTGGCCTAGCTCAGATCTACAAGAACTCAATTGAAAGGGTGGACGATTATTAAAAAGCCAAACGGTTGACATGGCAAAGAACTAAACTTTTTATTACTAAAAAAAATCTTATTAAGCAACAGCTAAATAGGAATAACCACATTTTATTCATTTTAGTCATTATTCCAAATTGCGGCGTAGCTACGAGCTTAGTAGTAAGAGCTATTTGTAAGGGCTTCCTTGTATCACCGGAGTAAAACAAAATTGCTATCGTATTGACAAGTTTTCATTCAGTGCCTCTAGTGTTAAAATATCACTTAGTGAGAATTAAAATCACAGGAACGTTCGCAGCTCATCTGAAAGGTTCATTTTACGCCCTTAGATAAAGGAAAAACAATTTTGGTATCGCTCGAGCTTGTTGAACTCCCCATGGATGTAACTTCTTGACAGCAGACAAGCATAGGATACCAAAAGTTCTTGTCCAGTACAATGAAAACAGATTTCACTCCAGTCCTCCTTGAGCGTAAGTTAATAGTCAACTTGAAACCCTAATGAAGCTTTATCAAAACACCAACCTGCCTCTCATTGTCCAGTTTGTGATTCTATCTTTAAGTGTATTTTTTAGGGCGGTCTAAGGTGGGAAAGGGAAAAAGTTTAAACTATTATGGCTAGGATTGCAGCTTGTTCATTATTGTTATCACACCTCAAATCTCTCCGTACACTGTAAGAATTTGGTTTGTTCAAACGAGAGGGTCAGATCGGTGGAGGGAAGGGGGGACGGGCAAGGGGGAGGGGGAGGGGGTACTAATGCACCCTTTTTTTCAACCAAAGGGTCAGCTTTGTATCAGCTGACTGTTAAATGTTTCCTTTAGAAATAAATAGGAAGAAAACACAAAAACTAGAATTACCCAAATCGTTATGAATCGTACAAATGAACAAATAGAGGCGGACATTTTTTTTCCCAGATGCAACTATTTCCTCATTTATCTACTTCTACTTCAACTGTTATGGAGAAATTTCAAGTCATTCCAACCGACCTCAGTCAATGCAGTGCACTGAGCGCGCACAACATGCATTGGAAGCAATTATTTTCATGGCAACATGACATCACAATGAACGAAGCAGAAATCCTTTTAGTTCGTCTGAGAGATTTTGTGAGAAACAGTAATGGCTTGTGTTCTCATACCGTTCCGACGGGAAAAAGCAAGAGCTGATAATTTTTTGATCACAGCATCTGTTTCGTTACTGAATGTTGAATTACGCAAGAAAAGGTGGTAAGGGACAAGATAAAGTATTTTCTTTCTCTCTTTTCTCTTAGGAGTTTAGCCTTCGAAGCTGCTTGTCTCACTAGAGTCAGACTTTTTTTCACTTTTCTGCTGAGAAAATGATCCAAATTTAGATTCTGACGAAGCATACAATTTCGAAAACAATATAAATTTCACTATGATTAATTGAATTGAGGAAAAAATTTGCGTTTTTAGAATTTGGCTGAGTTTTATTTCACTGTTGAATACCGCGTGAGACTTAAGCAGCAGAAACAAAGGGTCTTTCCCCAAACAGAATATTGTTTGCCCTTTGAAGTTGCAAGACTCAGTGAAAAACAAATACTAAGCTAATTGGTATTTTTCACGGCGGTGCTGTGAGAGAAAGTTCTTGATAACGGTTAATTATTGACAACGAGGGGGAGGGAGGGGTTAGTTTTACTAGTTACCAGTCTTGGCACAAAGACGTCATGGCGGCCGCCTTGAAAATACGATGTACTTCTTTGCCTTTTGTCGTATTCCAAAGTAACAAAAGATGTAAGTGCATCTCAGCCCTTGAATCGTAAAATGTCAATCGCTTATACAAGGTTAGAATCTGCACTGAACAAAAATATGGCTAACTATGGCAACTTTTTCACATTATGCTGACATTCGTGTTTTGTTCCTTAATTAGGTATCCCCACAAGCTTGCAGTTTTTTGGAAAAAAAGGAAAGCAAAATACAGTACAAAGGTAGTCAATTTAGACTTTGGATCTCTTATCTTTCTCTCTTAGCTCATTAAACGTTATTGATTTCTTAATCGTCAGTTTGAGTCAAATAAATATTTCTTCCAATTACTTTTTCTCTCAGCCGGTAGCATGGTTTGGAGGTGTTGAAAATGGTTATCGTGGTGTTCATTTTTGGCCTGAGCCTGATCCAGTAGATAGTAAAGTTACTCTCCTTAAGGTAAGTTTCAAATAAAGGCAACACGAGGTAGAAATTTGGGGGCAGATTTCCGTAAAGTGCCGTAGCATTCGGAAACGAAATTGTGGTCGGAAAGACCTGCTTTCGTCATAGTTTTCTTTATCCAAGAGCTCTATGCATAATGAACTATGGGGAAGTGCACAAATCTTGGCCAACTCTTTGAAACCGTCGTTTTCGTAAACACGTTATACCTACTTACTGAAGCCTTCCTTGCTTTTTTCTTAGGCTTGCTCCTTCCTTCGATTCAATTTGCGTCAAGTTTTAAGAAATTTTGAAGTAAAAACAGTCCATCTTTCGTTAGGAAGAATTTTT